CCTTCGTCAGGCCTGAAAATATTTAGCTTGTTTTGTTGGTTATACCTTCTACAAAGTGCAACCCGCACGGACCCCACCCCCACCAAGCCACTTACCAGTTGTCCCGAAATAAATGACCAACCCACCCCAACCATGCCCTTAAATAGTGGGATACTTGTGGCGCGATCACATTATCACTTGCATGATGTCACGTAGCTCCTCCCTGTTGTTTATTTCTGGTGACAGCCGTTTTATTTCCAGAGCCTCCAATATTTTCCTTTCCATTGTGTTCTCCACTGAGCGGTGTACTGTGATGGTTAATGAGGGGGTTCTTGGTGAGCGTGTTCATGTGTGCGATGCCTGGAGAAACTGCTATTGGGGTAGGAAGGTGGATTCCCCAGCGCTCTCCGGTGTTCGTCGATCCTTTTGTAGAGGGGCCTCCCAGTTTCTCCCACATATTTTTGTCCGCATCCTTGACACTCCACCAGATAAACTGTTCCCCTGAGCTGGCAAATTTTAGAGTCGTTGCAGTAACTACAACCTGCCCTTCCACATCTATTTTCATAAGGCCTTGAAAAGGTAAGAAGCGTTTTAAATTTGGTGGCGGACGGAATATTAAACGTATCGGAAGTGGTGAGCACTTCACTATATTATTTACTTTTAAGGCTGTGTTTTCATTTAGGTAAGGTAATACCAAGGGAATTCCGTCCGGTGTGGAATGTGGTTTCCATGTGTGGGTGCGAGTGCTTGTATAACCATTCTCCTTTAGAATTCTGTCCACCATCGAATCTACTTCTGATGACTGTTGAGTGCATATCTTTTCCTTTGTGATGACCTCTTACCTAAATGAAAACACAGCCTTAAAAGTAAATAATATAGTGAAGTGCTCACCACTTCCGATACGTTTAATATTCCGTCCGCCACCAAATTTAAAACGTCTTCTTACCTTTTCAAGGCCTTATGAAAATAGATGTGGAAGGGCAGGTTGTAGTTACTGCAACGACTCTAAAATTTGCCAGCTCAGGGGAACAGTTTATCTGGTGGAGTGTCAAGGATGCGGACAAAAATATGTGGGAGAAACTGGGAGGCCCCTCTACAAAAGGATCGACGAACACCGGAGAGCGCTGGGGAATCCACCTTCCTACCCCAATAGCAGTTTCTCCAGGCATCGCACACATGAACACGCTCACCAAGAACCCCCTCCATTAACCATCACAGTGCTACACCGCTCAGTGGAGAACACAATGGAAAGGAAAATATTGGAGGCTCTGGAAATAAAACGGCTGTCACCAGAAATAAACAACAGGGAGGAGCTACGTGACATCATGCAAGTGATAATGTGATCGCGCCACAAGTATCCCACTATTTAAGGGCATGGTTGGGGTGGGTTGGTCATTTATTTCGGGACAACTGGTAAGTGGCTTGGTGGGGGTGGGGTCCGTGCGGGTTGCACTTTGTAGAAGGTATAACCAACAAAACAAGCTAAATATTTTCAGGCCTGACGAAGGTGCTACGCACCGAAATATTGCAAGTTAAGATATATTAAAAAAACTTTTGAGACTTTCACTGTCTTTTGAGTTTTTTGGAATAAACTTTTGGAGTTTCACATTGTTATTACACACTTTCCACATAGTCGAAAAAAGGGATATTACTACAGTAAATTCTTAATCATCGCCCTTCTCTTACAATGCACATTATCCTATTCTACCAAGTCGCCTGGTTGGCACTCTTACTTTTCTTTGAGGCATACTTACCAATTCCAGCGTGTCGCAAAGTCTACCATTATGTTGGAAAGACACTACGGGACCAGTTGAATCTCCATCTTTGTTACGGTTGGGTTCTCTTACCACTCCCTTAACTGACCTATGAAAAATTCCCTTGACGGGCGGATAGACGGATCTAGAGACAAACCATCTGAGAGGTGTATTCAGTATGAAGAATGATTAGAGTTCGAGTAATCTACAAAACATGCAAGAAAAACTCACATCATGTTTCCTCTTGTGACGATCATCAGCTCGATCCCTGTCGCGATCCTTCTCACGTCGTTCTGCTAATACATTGCTTGTTGAGCAATGTATCCCGATATACGCTACTGTCTTACCTCCATGCTTATGTTTTATTCTCTCGCCTTCCCTTTCCCGCTCACGTTCCCTTCGATCGCGTTCTCTATGCTTGTCCCTTGGCCTATCCAGCTTATCGCTTTTTGGTTTCTGAAACACGAAGAATGTCCACAAGTTAAAAGAAAAAAAACAATAGTGCGACCACCTTAGGTTGTATTGTGAACATTTCCTCATCATCGCTGTGTCGAGCATCCCTTTCACGCTTTTCAAGAAGTCGTCTTCGTAAACGATCTTCTTCGCCTGAATTGAATTTTGGTGGAGAAGCGTCCATACTAACCACATGCACAACATAACAAAATGCAAGATAGCAATGAGTAGTAAGAGGTGCGGCTCGGTGACAAGGGGGGGGCATTTTGCACTTTCGCTGCTTCACTAGTTCCGGTTTACAAGTCTCACTCTGGTGGAACCTGTGAACTCTTGTGAAGATGAAGCAAGCTCGTCGCAGCACCAGGATAAATAATATTTGAATAGTTTTCATTACTTTACAACAGTTGACAGGTGGTCTCAACAAACTTTGGCTGGTATCATTTCGTGGCTTCACAAGATTTCACAGGTCTCCACTTGATGGCTCGACACGTCGATGGGAAGTAGGGAAAAAGCTAAATGCATTTCTTTCCCCCAACCTGCTGCCGAACAAGTCACAAGTCATTGTCACAACTAATAGACAACAGAAAACTTCTCTGAAAGCGTATTGCCAAGCATAGCATTAAATGCGTGAAAATAGCAATAAAAAAATAAAGGGACAAACAGTCCTACTTTCTATATCAGCTTTAGTGAATTCGATTTTCTTCCTTTCGACTGACGGTTCAGGCATATGCCCTGGAGAGCTAGATGACGATCGCTGACTAGGTGCCGCTGAAGAATTCGCTGAATCTAGTAAAACGCATTGAAATCACAAACTTTACGGCGTTCAAAATGTGAAGCCTGTTCGATAGGCAGACTTGGAAGGAGCTACACAAGGGCGCCAGCTCACCATGATGCCATTCGCTGAAAACTAGAACCATTATCGACATCAAGTGGTATGACAGATTTTATCAAAATAATGTGCCATATTTCTGAACAGCCACCATCACACGCCGATCTACTAATTTTAGCTCAGCATGAACGGAGAACTAGCACCCTGTTAGCTCTTTCAAAGTCTAAAACATGATTCAGTTATTATTTAAGGTGTTTCTTTTTCCGTTAAATTTGAACATCCGTCACTGGAGGTTGGGGAACGGCAGACCGTTCTAGGATGTCAGTAAGAACCACTACAAGAACCATTTGTATTGGTTACGCTATCGCACAGCCTACACTCTAGAATATTAAAAACTCGTTAAAAGCCTCTGTTAAATCGACACTGTTCGTTTTGGGTTTGTGACGGCTTTTCACTACTTCATACCCTCGAGAAAAGTACGAAGAACCATGTTCACTGAGAAAATTGATTGGGAACACATTTAAACGGAAGTGTGGAGTTTGTTTTCAGTTCAAATTTCACCAACGGAATCCTAAAATTGGGTGAAAATGCATTCATCCGTTCACCTTGCAGGATGCTCGAGAGATGCTGTTGAAAGGAACAGGGATAAATGCAAAGCAAGTGAGGACCAGTGCTTGAGCCTACAGGTGGAAATAGCTTTGCGGCGGGTGAACGAATTTCATAGAGGATAGCTCCACTACTGACCTGAGGCTAATCCCAACCTCGCAGGATCCCTTTCGACCAACAGTGCACTCACCGCTGTGGATCGTGGTCCTTGCCGTGTGTTGGGAGAATGCCACTTTCGCCATTTCGCGATACAGCGGAGTAGATAACCGGGTGCCGTCTCTATACATCCGCGCTGCTGCATGGGTAGCCCTACGCCTGAGGCTCACTTTGCGTGAGCTTACAGCAGACGAAGGCAGCGTTTCAAGTGAACGCCAGTGACTGGAGAAGTATGGATATTGATCTAGCGTATGCCAGCGTGCAGGGGCGACTGTAAACGGCAAAATCGCAGTTCGGCCTTGTGAGCGGCGGTCGCGGCGCGGTTTTGGCACTAGGGCATCGTGGTCAACTATCATCACCAGGAGTAACATCTTAGGTTGCCTACTATGAACTCAGCATGGGCATATCACCACACTATACTCACAAAAGCATCGAGTCTTGTATAATAATGTTGATGACGTGGCGTTTCTCACAAAACCGCG